TTACTACTAATATATATATATTATTATTATATATATATATATATATATATATATATATATATATACTTGTGAGTATGGACACAAAACCTACATAATAATATACTTCTTTGCAGAGAACCGGATTGACATCATACCTCCGATCTAGATATCGCAGAAACTCTTAAGTCTCTGCGGCCTATAAATGCTGGTATTGCTGTACATCGTTCACGTGCAGCTGTCAGCACAGTCGCGCAATTAACAGACAGACCGCCTAACCTTAGTCGAAGCATGCTGACAGGACAATTGTAAAACAAGATTGTTGCAAGATACTGATTTATTCAATGATGGCCGGGTTTATACTGCTAGCTCGCTAGTATTTTAACAATCTGTTTATACCCAGAATAATAGGTGATGTATGTATACTGTAAAGCACAGTGCACGTGCAAGAAAATAACCTCATACTTATGTTCTTTTCTCGTTAATTTTTTTTAAAATCAATCGTTTTTGTCTCGATGCTAAACGTTTATGCTACAGTTAAATGTACCAAATCTTGTGTTACGTTAAAACGTACAAAATGTTAAAACGCTTGCATGTTTACAACCCGAATTGACATTTTTAAACGTTTTCAAGTTTACCCGATTTGGTCTTTTGGCGGGCTTTCCTCCTTTTTGGCTTTATGAGACGGTGCTATCGCTTTATCTGTAGCAGCAGCAGGGGACTTCTAGAGTGGAGGTCTCCTCCACTTTACTAAATATCTCGACGCAATACGACTACATCCACAATTGTACTTACGTGTGTGGTGTGCAGATAGAATACACACCACAGGATGTAAACCACATGTAACAGCCCTTGTACTATCTTTAACATAAAAACGCATATTTAAAAACGTATACCTCTTGCTGAATCCGACACCAAATAAGCATGCATACGGCTCTACATTATTGGGCACATATTCGATGTAGTATATGAAGTACTCGACAGGATAAATTAGCACGGGGCTTATTATGTAGCTATTGGCGAGTGTTTTTATTAGGGGGTACAGGGTGTAACACATGCGGTATTTACATTAAAGTTACGACGTCAGTGATCAGTCGACACTAGCTGGTAGTTACTTTCGACTACAGTATTTAGTAGTCTTATTGGCATACAAACACGCCCAATAAGAGGGCTTATCACTGTAGGCCGATTAGTTAATGCCGTACACGTTCCATCCTAAAATATCGACACTATACACCACACAATCCACCACTATTCTCACACGCAATTCAAAATAACAAGTATACTCAAATCATCTTAGTTGGCATCACTATTAACCACTACAACACAAATCACGCAAGCGATTAAATCCCAACATTCCCGTCATGAGTACATCGCAGCATCATAAGGCTGATCCAAGATCACGGAGGAGTGCACATACGCAAAGCAGCAGCCAAAGCCAGGCACACAGAGCTGAGCAAGCGATGAAAGGGTTCGTGTACGAATCTAGAAGGACTGTACGTGAACGCAGAGAGAAGTACGGGGTAGGTAAGGAGTGGGGTGTCATGCAGAAAATATTGAAGGATCTACAACGGCTTAGTAGGATGGCTAAGGCGTACAAGATGTTTTTGAAGTTGGGGATAGTGAAGGCTTTGGACAGGTATGTAAATACGGTTGGAACTGGACAGGTGTACATACCTGGGGGACTTTGCATGGTTGTATGTGTATATTGAAGTGGGTATACTAGAAGGGCTTATAAAAATTGAGTAAGATGACCAAGAGGCGTAAAAGGTGTCCTTGAATTTGGGGATAGCGGGTCTCTGGATAGCGATGTCGATGCGAATTGAGATGCTGTTTGGCTTGCAGGGTGCTGTGTGGGTGGATTTGTATATATCCGACTTGGCATTTTGACATGACCGTGCTTTTATAATGGGAGAAATAAAAGTTATCAGACTGCGGGAGGTGTTTCAACTGTGAAACTACCAGACACCAAGGTACTGTATCTTGGGGTAAAGTCTTAAGTATGGTGATTGTTAAGTCACGTGTACGCTACAGAACGTAGACGGCTTTATTCGGTCATGGGCTACCCGTGCCGAGTATGATCTGACCAAGCCCATTTTCCTCTCAACAATTGGTGTTCAGGGAAAACATTATAAACCTATAAATATCTTTCGAGTACTTAAGAGTATAATAGACAGTGAAAATCGATTTTTTGGCGTACTTGTATCCCATCCCACTGAACAGTTTCCTCATGGATCCGCTGCCCCAGGACATCCTGGTCATGTGCCTATCAATCGTTGCGAACTTGGCTTCGGATTCAAGTATGTGCATTTTTGAAAATGTATAAATTAGCGTTATTTACATAGATCAGTTCTGATCGGGAATTGCATGTTGATACTAAAGGTCGTGTGCGCTCTTATACGTTTAGTTGTTCACAAAATTGCTTGTTGCTACTACAGATCGTGTGTGTTCTTTCATACACCCCTTCTGTGTGAATGAGTCACACGAGCATAGCTTAGTATTGGTGTCTTGATATTTTTTTTTAGATTTCTATGCTTGCTTTCCAATTGCACAATGTGTGTGTACTTTTTGAATTTCGTTTCAGCTCGCCATATATTTATCAGCATATTTCACATAGAGATCTGCAGAGAGCATGCACAACCTGGTTTCGGCACATACATAAATCTGTATTCAACGTCGCATGTGTTTATATACCTACCATATATGTATGCTTGTTTCTCGGTCGTCAGTAGTAGTTCACTACTAAACATATAGATACGCACAAGTTTGTGACATCCTACATCTGTATAGACTCTCCAAAGTAACATACACTTAGTAACATACACTTACACTCACTCCCAATTCCTAATGATGTGTTATTGGTTCTCCAAATCGTAGATGTATGTGCGGTTATGGGTCCCTCGATGGTACAGAGAATCTCGGACAAATTGATAGAATCAGACTCTATCCTCAGTCGAGCGAAGGGTGTGCGCGCGCTCACAAATATGGTCGCAAACCCAAAATGCGCGCAAGAAATTAGAAAATGTGGTATTGGTGTGCAGTTAATTGGCTGGTTGAAAGCTTGTTTACCACCCTGGGATCTGATTTTTGCATCTGAAATCGGGAAGGAAGAGGACGAGGAGGAAGAACGTGCCAGTGTGCCCGGAGGGGTAATTGGATTGTGAAGAGTGTTTACATTGTGTGATATCGATATTTGTGCACTTTTGTAGATGTAAGCAATGTTTTACAGGTGGCTCATGTAGGAGTATATTTGTATTGGTACATGACCTAATGATATGTTGAGGACACGTAGCCAGTGTACTTAGATACCATCAAGGTACAACGTTGCGCAACAGTTTTATCGATCTAGGAATTTTTTTTTACATTGATTCTGTCTATTGAGAATATGGCATATGCATATACTTAACCAATTGATATGCAATTGTTTTATTCAGATAATTGAAGGTGCCAGTTCAAGTGAGCATATATTTTTGATTAGGTCTCGTTCGTGACGGTACTTCGGCCAAAATTGCGAACCGAAATGTAATCCTTGTACGCCGTGTTCAGAGTACGAATTGCTACTTTTGGTATACGATAGACCTGATATGCTCAAATTTACAAATATGCACACGTACGTACATATATATATATATATATATATATGTGTGTGTGTGTGTGTGCGTA